TGCACATGGATGCATTCTCTTGAGTGCTAATGTGAGCACATGGCGTTTCTATAAAAATCCAAAAAAAAAAAAAAAAAAAAAAAAAAAAAAAAAAAAATCTCAAAGAAGGAAAAAAAAACGAAACATGAATTTGCCCCTGAAATTAGTTAGATACATTTGTCCGTGTGCAAATGTGAGTATGCCCTCAAGGAGGGCTGTTCAGTAGATCACGGGATATGCCCTGCCTCGCCGGCAGGGGAATCTAAGAAAAATGAAAAAAAAAACAAAAGCAGAAAAAATAGACATCCAGAATCTACCTGAAATACTAGTTAGAACCATTCCACCAAGAACAGATGTGACCACGACCCCCACCCAACTTAGAAAGTAGTTCTTTTTTTTTTTTTTGGTTCTTTCTTTTCTACGTCGCAATTATGAGCAACGGGTCGTTCACGTGAACGACCCCCCTCAAATGCGGCGCGTTAACGGGACACGCCTGCAGCCCATAGCTGGGCCAAGTACTGGTGGTTTAACAACAAAATAACAACAATTATGTTTGAATGAATTCGTGACGCGTGAACGCACGGAGCGCTCCCCCCCGACAAGGCTCGGCGGGCATCCGCTCCAGGTCCCCGGACTTGCCAAGGTCGTCTTCGTAACGGTGGAGGGTCAGGGCGGCGCGCGGCGGCGGCCATGGCAGCTAAGCTTTAGTGAGCATCGTGTCTACTGTTACTGGAGTGTCTTTGCGCGACAATAGGAACGACAACAAGTAACGGGAGCCAGGACAGCAGGTAAGTTGACGTCGTCCACATGGCTTCAGATGGGAATCTCCGATAAGCTACTGATGCATGGCTATCTAGCATGGAAGACAGCAGGCAACATCTTCAGCATATGGTCGCTCTCCTCTCTGTCTCCACTCCGCCTCCACCAGCGGTTGTTGGGGGAGCAACCTCGGGGGCGAGATGGGTGGAAACCGTGATATAAACGATGTTGGAGGTTATCTGGGTGCTGGAGGAGGGGCCAGCTCCGGAGCTGGATGAGTGTGTTGATTGGCGTCAGGTGGACGCCCTGTCCAGCAATTGTTACACGCTCCTTGACGAGGGTCTCGAGCGAGGTGCTGACTTAGCCAACCGCTCAGGAGGGGAGCTGCCAATCACCATGTTGGCCACGGTCGCACCAGCAGCACCAGCTCCAAGAATTTCACCGACATCTGCAACCACGTTATCATCACCTACACCAACGATGCCAGGGTCTTAGTCGCAGGCGCAGGCCACCAACGATCATTACACCAACGTTATCATCACCTACACCAACGATCATTGCCCCTGCGCCATCTCTGTTCTTGAACACCCCAAATCTCTGTTCTTGGCCGTGGCGCAAACGACGATGACATCAGCGACATCAATCATGCCTACGACTAAGACGTTGGCATCTGCACAGGCCACCACCACCACCAGCAATAACTACACCAACAACAATAATACTATGCACGACAGTGGCATGGAAGGAGTGATCCTGAGCTCGTGCGCATCCAAAATCTATACGAGAAAGGTTGAAAATTTCAGCTCAGGGGCCCGGCCAGACTCAGCAGACATTACAACCAGACCCATAAACTGGGCCCACTGTCTGTGGAACCTTTTAAGAGCCTTCACTGAGAAGCCTTTGTTAACCACTTGAAGCGAAGCGACCATTCCGTGTACAGAGTCTGCTTAATCGAGTACATAATTTCCGCACGGACCATCGGGGGTGTGAGCTCTTCCCCCCCCCGCGCACTACCGAGTTCCTGAGGTCCACAAAGTCCACAGCATGGCTCCGTGCAAACTCTCCTCCACATATGTTAGAGGGGTATTGTAGGCCTCAAGGTCACATCAAATTTCGTTACCAAATCTAAAATAAAAAAGTTAAAAAATAATGTTTATATTACTTTATAATAGATTACTTAAATTTAATTTTATTATTATTTTTTTAACTTTTTTTTTGGCCCGGCCGGGCAAGTGGCACCGGGCCACTTTGGTAGCCTAGGTTTGAATTTCAATGTTGTTATTTGTTTCTTTGATGGCTGGAAGTCCTTCAGATACTACTGGGGGGGTGCTCCTATCACCCCCAATAGAGGAAGTAGAGGAAGAAGGTCTGATGCGTGAATTCTTGCACGCTGCTAAAATGTGGTTTTTACTCTGATATGGAACTCAGACTACGGGGCAAGTGCTGTGCAAACCCGTCGGTGAGTAGGATGGGGCGCCTAGCACACGCGCGCCTTGGAACGGGGACACTTAGCGCTGCCACGTCACGGGCTGACGTGGCTGTGCGCTAGAGCCAAGTGGGCGTGCTAGGAGAGAGAGGTGATTCTCTTCAGCATGGTTCGTTTCCTGGCTTCCGCGACGACGATTCCATAGCTACCGTGGTTTTGAGCACGGTGTTTAGCTTACGTGCTTGACAATAGTCATCACATATGGAAGCAAGCGGAGGTCCGTCCCCGAGAGGGTGAAGTGGGCGACGGAAGGACACTACTCCAGCACTGGCAGATCGAAGGAAGGCGAGTTAGTGAGGACCACAGAACGAGCAGAGAGGGCC